AAAATTATGTAAGACCAATAATACATAAAATATTCATTATTGATTCATCACTATTTGTCAAATATGCGTTTTATTAGTTTGCATTGCAATTACTATACCGGGTGCGTCTCAAAAGTGGCTCACCCCTATAATATTTTTATTTTTTCAGATAAGAAACGAGGTATGGTATGTTAGTATATTATATAAATTAGAGTTGACTGACATATTCAATTATTTTCGGCCACTTCCTGTTTCACCAGAAATGACTACAACTTTTAATTTTTAAATGGCACCTCGGTACTTTTTTACTTTATTCGATAGAAAATGACACTCTGAATAGATTGATATATCATATGTCAACTTTTGACATTTTCGTTTAAAACAAAATTGTATTTTACATTTCAATTTAGAGTACCGTGGCTGTGTGTTTAAAACACCAACTTTTAATCAAGGAGCCTTGGAAAAATAGACTTCATTGTCTAATGCTTTTAGTGTCTTGTCCTGGCCGGTTAAAAGATGATCAAATCGTATTTTTAATCATATCTCAATTTTTTGAAATGGAACGAGGGTGGCTCATTAGCATATTTAGAAAAGCAATTTTTACGAATAATTTGGTAGTAAGTAGGTAACAGGTAGGTAATAAAGTTGATATATGATATGTCATTCTATTCAGAGTGTCATTTTCTATCGAATATATTAACAAAATACCGAGGCGAGGGTGCCATTTAAAAATCAAAAATTGTAGTCATATCCGGTGAACAGGGAGTGACTGAAAACAATTAAACACGTCAATCAATCCTTATTTATGTCATATATTAACATACCAAATTTCGATTTTTTATCTAAAAAAATAAAAAAGTTATAGAGGTGAGCCACTTTTGAGACGCACTTGCTCAGGGTCGTCACCTTTTGCATTTAAAAAATCGGGACAGCACTAGTGCAACCTTTTTTCTTAAATGTAAAATGTGTTTATGTGCCTATCGGATTTTGAAACAAAATTTTATGCCTTTTTGCGTTAACTTAAAAAAACTATTCGAAATTTATAAATAATTATGTAAAAATAAAAAATGAAAAGTTGAAAACAAAATTAGTAAACAAGCAGTTAAATCTAATGGTGCGTCCAGACCTGGGGAGTCGAGTGCGAGACGAGCGCGAGACATTCCAAATTTGCGGTGTTTTTCAAAGGGTGGACGGGTCTCGCAAGTGCCTCGCGAGCCGCTCGCGAGACAACCCACGGAGCCTCATTGCTCTCCGTCCCCTGTCGGTTTTTCGACGGCCGATCAAAGAAAGCTCGCGGCCAAGTCTGGACGTGTTTTTGGTAGGCTCGCTCGACTGCGAGATATTAGCTCTGATATTATAGTGCATATTGAAATGGAGACTTGGATGGAAGATCAGCTGAAATTAATCGATTTATATAAAGAAAAACCAATATCATGGAATCCAAAAGATAAAGAATATTAAAAAAAAACACGATGCGTGAGTAGATATTTCACAATCGATGAATAAAACTTGGGAAAAATGTAAAAAAATTATTTCTCTATTGGCAACATACAGGAAAGAGATTATTATAAGAAGTTTAATTATTATTGAATCTTGTTACTTAGTAAATTAAATACACAGGGTGAGCCAACGACAAAGTTCATTATTTTATTTATTTTGAGAATTATTAAAAAGTGTTTTAGAATTATTAAAAAAATAGAAAAACTGTAGAAAAAGTTAAGATACACATTTTAAAATTATTATAGAGTATACAGGGTGGTTAAAAATAGTGTTACGGATATAACATGGTTTTTTAAATAATGTAATACACTTTTTTTTTATTTTTAGATTCTGCGTAAAATTTTATAACTTTTTTTTATGTATAATGCGAGGTATAATGTTATAAACCTAAAACTAATAAAATTTGTAATATTTCAATTTGCTTAAACAAAAAAAGTTAAATTTCAGTGTCGTAAAAAATTGTCAGTCATGCTATTGTTTCTGAAGTTGAAGTGCTAAAATTTGTTAGGATATATAGTTTTATAGGGACGAAGAAAAAGATATAGGTAAAGATATTCGAGTTAGATGCTACAGTGTGTTCAACATATAGGCATTTATGAATTTCGACTATTTAACTGAAATTTTTTAAATGGAACACCGTATGTATTATAGGGTTCCCAACTTGAGCATCGGCGATTCCGGGACAATTATTTTTAAGTTTTTAAATAATTGAAACAAAACATTAAATATTATAAATTCAAATATATTATATGTAAATGTGATTTTTTTGGTTCCGGCCAAGGCAAAATTTTCTCCGGGATAAACTTTCTGATTCCTGGTTAATCCAGGTTAAACCGGGACGGTTGGGAACCCTAATGTATTATCATTTTTTTAATAGAATTTACAAATTTTGCGTCACTAACACTTTTTACCGTATCGAAATCTAATATTTCTTTAAACAAATTGAATTATTACAAAATCGCGCGCGATTATTTTAGATATATAATATTATAATAGGCAAAAGAAGTTATCGAATTGTACGTAGAATCTAATAATAAAAAAATAGGGTATTCCCATTAAAACATACCGCGTGTGAGAGAGTCAGAGTGTTATTTTTTCTCGAATAAAGTAAGAAAATACCGAGGGTGCCATTTAAAAATCACATGTTGTAGTCATTTCCGGTCAAACCGGAAGTGGCCGAAAACAACTGAATATGTCAGTCAATCCTAATTTATGCCATATACTAGCATACCAAATCTCGTTTTTTTATCTGAAAAAATAATAAAGTTATAGAGGTGAGTCATATTTGGGACGCACCCGGTATATCCGTAACACTTTTTGAAGTACCCTGTATACTCTACAGTAATTTTCAAATGTGCTTCCCAACCTTTCCTATAACTTTTCTATTTAACATTTTGTTCTAAAAAACGGATTTTGTAAAAGACGCCGTGTGTCTCGAAACAAGTGAAGAGTAAGGGGAAACAATCGACGATGAGTAAAATAGGACGAACCAAATATCATGTTAAAAATACAAAAATTTATTACTTATGCGTTATTATTTGCTGCAGCTTTTTCATCGGACATGTTTACACATACCGGTCACCTTTCACTACGATCCAACTCGCTTGTCTCGCGGCAGGCTTGCGTCAAAAAATGGATAGAAAATGTCTTGCTCTCGTCTCGCACTCGTCTCGCTCTTGTCTCGCGCTCGTCTCGCACTCGACTCTTCAGGTCTGGACGCACCATAAAATAAACTAGAAGAAAACCTAAAAAAATCAAAAGTTTCAGCTGTAGTGTAATCTGTATAATTGGCTTTATTACTTTATGTTATTATTTTTGAATGAACAGTTTTTTTGGCAAAATAAAACACTAATTCACCACAATACACTAAAACACTTAAAATATAACATACTTAGTATACACAAGCTTAAAAAGGCCTTAACCCCTACAAGTGCGCTAATTTCCATTAAACACTTTAGTTTTAACACTGGATGCGTGTTTCGTTAACCAGCTTAGCATCATCAGCAGATCATGAAAACTGATGGTTAGCTTCAAATTTATGATTAGCGAAACGAGCGTCCAGTTTTAAAAGCAAAGTGTTTTGGTGTAATGGGGTGAATTAGTGTTTTATTTTAATACCAAAGGTTCCACCCCCAAATATAATGAATATTTTTTATTTGTTTTGTTGCTGTAAAGATCCTTGTCATTTTTAATAAAATCCAAAAATTCTTATATGTGATATATTAAAATTAAATGAGATTTGAAGTTCCCTTCTAATGAGCTTAACTAAACATCTATTTCTAGCGTCTACTTCAACACCATACGTGAAAATATATAAATAACAAACTTAAACAATGAAGGCATATAATTTACTCTAGTTTTATAAATACTTAATTTTTATAATTTTTATATCCTTTTTGGCAAATTTTCTTACTTTCTTTTAATTCTAAAATTGATTGATTCTAGAACTGTTTTTAAATTAGGAGGAACGAAATTAATCAACAGGTATTTTTAATAATAAATAATAAAATTATATAAGGATTCTTGCCACTTAACTGCTGATATAGAAATTTAATTCTACGCTTTATTTGTCATAATGTGGATCAACCTGCTCTCACTACCGGTTTCGGAGCCCTATTCCATCATCAGTTGAGCTTGGGCAGATCCACAAAATGACAACCACAGCGCAGAGATAGTTAATTCCGACTTGTAGGAAAGTGTCGGTTAGATATTAAGTCCCGAACGGGAGATAGCGGCCTGCGTGCAATGGTAGTACTTTCGTACCACCGAGAAAACTATCGATAGTAAAAGGCAACTATCGATAGTAAAAGGATGGTAAAAGGTTTTTTTTCAGGCAAGTCAAATTATAAAATAGAAAACAAATTTCTTGCAGTATAGGTATATAATAAAGTTATATAAGGATTCTTGCCACTTAACTGCTGATATAGATATTTAATAATAAATTTTACAATTATATTGTTTAATATAAACGTGGCCATTAAACAAATAAAAATCGGGGCATTAGGGCTTTGCGTGGGGACGCGGGACTTTTGGATCAAAATCGGGACTGTCCCGACAAAATCGGGACGGATGGCAACCCTGCACCTGGTATATACGTAATGTTGAATTTCAAATTGAAAATCAAAAGCTCAGAATCATAAAAGAAAATAGCCATCTATTTTCAGAATTAAAAATTGTTTGAGACCGCAATCAAATTTTAATATTAATATTAATTAATAAAATTATAACCCCAAATCAAATGACGACAATTACGTCACCAATCTGTTTTATCTGGTTGTCAAGTGAAATGGAGAGTTCGACAATATATTATGACGTAACGCTGAACGATCGCTAAATAAAGTAATATTTTATCCTTGTTTTATTTGGTAAGGTGTAAATAAGGATTAACTTTAATATAGGTAATGAAAAGGAATTCTGTTTCGTTCTAGATAAAGTACATTTTTCTGTTTTTTTTTCTACGCAACCTCTTTCGCACTTGCTATTTTATTCACGACTGACGATTCCGTTTTACCTCTTTACAGGTGGCGCTAGTGGGGCCCGAGGACTCAATCTCCTGATTAGGGCGGCAGGCAGGATCATTAATCTCGGACCGAAGACCGCGGTGCCCGTTTCGCCCGGGGTAAGTTACCGATATGAATTGTTTATGGTTAGGCTCCTTGCGTTATTTATACGGGTCGGTGACTTTTTACACCTCCGATACCGAAAATCAGAATGTTTATATTTTTTGTGTTGTATAACATAGAGAAGAAATATACAGGGTGGTCCGAACTAGAGGTGGGAATCCTAGTTCCTTGGGAGGAACTAGTTTCTTAGTTTTAGTTCCTCCAGAGGAATAGTTCCTTGAACTAGGTCTTTAGTTCAGAATAGTTCCGTCTAACATTGACATACCCGTTGCTTGCTAATGGGTTTCGTTGTCAGTCAGAACTATTCACAGTATGATCTGTATAATTTTTATAATGTACGAAATATAACGGGACGTGTAATTGTGTATGTTAAAAACATATAGGTAAGTTTTATTGCAGATAAAAAAAATAAAAAATAAACTCAAATCAGAGTTTAAATAAACTATATCACAAATCAATTATTACGAAAATTTTAAGAAAAATTGCATTTTTCCTCATTTCAGGCTTTTTGTTTTTGTCTAAAGATTCAGAATATCTACTTCGTTTTATAAGATATTTCTTAATTTTAGGGACCTAAAGTGAATCATTCCCATAGAATATTTAAAGAACAAACTAAAAATCAAAAACAGTATCCACGACAATTTTCAGTGGTAATTACGCCGGCTGTGGCAATAGACAAGGTGGAATCCATCGTTGTCGCCTTGTATTATATCTCGGATCTGCCGACTAAATAGATTCCCGTGAACTAGTCTTTTAATTAGTTCTTCTAGGTCCGGATCCGATAACATACGGCTGGCACTCCCCAAGCCTGCCTGGCATAAATCGCGCTGGCCGGTCCATACGTAAACTAGAAACTAGTATTTTATTTAGTTCCTCTAGTTCCTCTAGGTCCGGTTCTGTTAGCATACGGCTGGCACTCCTTACTCCTGCCTAGGCTCGGGCTACGCGCGCTGGCCGATCCGTCGCCGTCGCATATTATTATATATCGGTAATAGTCTCGATCACCGAATAGGTCCTGAGGAACTAGTTCTTTGAGAATCCAGGAACTACCTAGTTCCTATCATTCCGGGGTCGGAGTAGTTCATTGGAACTAGTTCGTTCACGAACTACACACCTCTAGTCCGAACTGTATTCCGGAAACTTCAGCAGTATATGTTGCAGATGAAAATAAGTAAAAAAGTTCGTATAAATGTATGTTCCACAATGCTTAGTTACGGAGGTACAGGGTGTAGAAGTTTTATTTTTATTTCGATTTTTTCCAAATAATTTTTGAAGTAACGTCAATATTTGGATGAAAATTGATGTCTGGGAGTTTTTTGACATCAGAAATTTGATTTTGATGTGTCAGTATGATTCCTATTTGTAGGGGGCATCACCTACATGTGTTTTAACTGTTTTTTGAAGAGTAATAACTTTTCGTCCGTACCTGTATAAAACTGCTGAGTGGAAAGGTATACATGTAATTTTTGACGTAAAAAATGTCTCTTGGTAAAAATCGCTACGAGCAACAGTTCTCAAGATAGTTTGTGTCTCAAGATGATTTTTGTGAATGCAAGTAGTCATTGTTGACAAAACATAAACATGTTGAGTAGATAGATATTTAACCATTAAAATGATAAATTTGGAAACTTTTTATTTTTTTAAATTAATCAAAAATTCTTCTTCGATAAAATGATGATAAAACTGTTTCTGTTGAACTTTTAACACAAAATTATTTCAAATTTATGATTTCAGTCTAATAACTATTTAGTCAATATGTTTAATTTATGTCAATGATGACAAACATTGAGAATTTCGATTTCAAATATCTCGGGAACATTACTCGTAGCGATTTTTACCAAGAGAATTTTTTTTTAAAAACGTCGTAAATGTATATTTTTTTACTAAGTAGTTTTATACAGGTACGGACGAAAAGTTATTACTCTTCGAACCAGTTAAAAATTATGTAGGTGGCGCCCTCTACAAGTAGGAGTCATATTGACATCAAAATCAAATTTCTCATGTCAAAAAACTCACAGATACCAATTTTCAGGCAAATTTTCAGACATTACTGCAAAAATTATTTGGAAAAAATCGAAATAAAACTGAATATTTTACACCCTGTATGTCCAAAACTAAGCATTTTAGGACATATATTTATACGAACTTTTTTAATTATTTTTATCTGCAAAATATACTGCTGAAGTTTCCGGAATACAGTTCGAACGACCCTGTATGACAACATATTTCTTCCCATTGCCTAATCAAATTAAATTATTATATACGGTGTGTAGAAAAAGCAGTGTATGGGGTGTCCTTAAGTAAATTTGCTTCATTTTTGTTGAAGACACGTCAGTGACATTCAACTTTACAGGGTCCAGCAATAGTGCGTCTGGTATCTGTAGCTTCTAGAATAAAAAAATGCGAATTTAGTTTAAGTGCAAACCTAAGGGATGTACTAGGATGTATATCAGGAAAATATATTTAACTTTTACAGGGTTGCTCAAAAAAGTGTGAGTGGATCGGAATGATTTTTTTTAAATGCGTATATTATTGCATTTTTGGCTTCCATTCAGATCACTTTATAAAATCCTACTTGAATATGAATGAATCCTAATGAATAAATATAATATTTCGATAATTTTAGAGATATATTTAATAAATACATCAAAAATATATATATGTATATTTTGAAGTCTTGAAATCAAAACTATATATTAGCTATTTACTTTAGATGGTCTGTACTTACTTTGCTATAAATATAGTAATCTTAAATCATACAGGATGTTCCAAATTCTACGCCAAACTTTCTAAAATATAAAATAATTTTTCTTCGATTTTTTTAAATGGAACCCTGTATATTATTTTTTTATTGTATATATATTATTTTTCTATTAGATGGAGAATTGAAAAATGAACATTTTTTGTATTACTTCATATAGAACTTTCAACGTAAAATAGTTTAGGTGGCTTTGATAAAAATTTACTGTGGAAAATGCAATATGAAATATAAAACCGCGAATATCTGCGAAACGGTAAAAAATACCCCTTTCCGGAACTTACGTTGAGAAAAGCAATAACACAGACAGTTTTGTAAAATAAAGGCGGTATTTTTGTTTTTTAAGAAAGTATACCGCCGAATAGCGGCATTTTTTATATATTTAGCCGTAACTTGAAGCCGCATCAACCGCTGTACTTGAAAAATTGACCTCGTTGTTCGGCGGTAATCATTTTAATAAATATATGTAAAACCGGGTAACGGCAGTCTTTCCTTTGTCAATTTGTCTATACCGCCGGCGCCGGCGGTAATTTAGCAAGTTTGAATTTCCAAAATATTCGATTTCGAAAATCTGTGAGTGTAAATTTTCCCTCTATGGATGCTATTATTTTCCACTGCAAGCAATTATTTTAACATAATTTTTCTTCTGCATTAAGCGAGGCTGAAAACAAAGTATACAAGTAGTTTTTTCCGTTGATTTTTTACCGATGCTTTCGATTTACCGATAAAAAAATGCAAACCCCATCACGTAGCGCCAATCGAGGCAGAAAATTGGATTCGTGGAGTTATCGACGGGCAGGCGGCACGGTAGCCACACACACAACGGACCCAACCGACAACATAATCAGCGTTATGCTCTTTTTTCTTTGGGTTATTAATTAACTTTTAGTATCTCATTAAAAAGTAAACGATGTTAAGTTAATCCGAGTTTATCCAGATTATTTTTATACTTCTTCCTGGAGTATTTTATGTATAAAAAACAAACTGAGTAAATTACCGCTGGCGGTATAGACAATTAACGGAATAAAGCCGTTAGACGGTTTTACATATTTATTAAGATGAATACCGCTGAACAACGAGGCTAATTCAAACTAATTCAATGATTAAATTTTCAAGTACGGCGCAGGCCGTTTCTGCTAAATATAAAAAGAACACCGCCGCTCCGCGGCCGCCCTGTTCGGCGGTACACTTTTTTAAAACGCAGAAATAAACCGCCCTTATTTTACCATATTTTATGTAACATTATTTTTACCAACGTAAGTTCTGCAATTAAGTACCTCATTTCATTCATTTTGTCCTTGACTCCTACGTGGAGCATAGGGCTTCAATAAATGTTCTCCAGCGGGTTCGATTATTGGCAATTGATTTGACATCGCCATGATCGGTTTACTGCTTCGATCTACTTTTTAATTATCCTTTGCCATGTATGTCTTGGACGATCAGTTCTTCTACTGCCTTGTTGATTCCACTCAATAGTTCTGCCAGCGATGTTGTTGCCGCTTGTGACAAATCCACTTCCTTTGAGTTCCAAGAAGTTTGATCTTGTTATGCACCTGCCTCTGGTCAGTCAAAATCCATAAATCGTCATATCTGATAGTATCAGGCCCAATATTTCTCCAATTTTTTGCAGAGAGCGGTTTATGAAAACTTGGAGTTTGTTAATTATTAATGGCGATGTAATTTTCCAGGTCTTTGCACCATACAGCAATACCGGCTTGACATTCGAATTGAAAATTTTAAGTTTAGGAAGTTGAGAGTACTGTCTAGATCTCCATATATTGTTGAGTATTTCAAATGCTATTTTGGCCTTGTTTATTCTATTTATCTTGCTCTGTGTTTCCGTTGGTTGAGATTATACTACCTAAGTAAGTAAAATTATTTACTTCCTCTATAGGTGTTGTTCCAATGATTATTTTTTATATAGCGACATTATATAGTATAAACTCTCATCGATTTAGTTTTTTAAAAATGATCTAAAGACCTGCAATGTGAGCTTCATTTGTCAAGTCAAGTAGTGTTAATGCCATATCCGCGAGACTATGAGAAAGGAGACAGACGTCATCTGCATAACTGAGATCTTTTTACATGCTAAAGGGAGGGAAATTGTCTCTTTAAAATAATTGTGTTCCCTTAGATTGTTCACTTTTGATGATAATCAAAGAGGATATTAAAAAGAAATGGCGAAAAACCGGCGGTTATTTAGCCAGTGCCTATAAGAAAATACTCTCAATACTACTT